CCAGTCACACCATTGATAGGAGGATTTCAGGTTGGTAAGACAAATCTATAAACCAGTTCATTTGGTTTTTAGAGTTGACTTGTACCTGATTTAGTCCTGGTTTGGTGTCAGAATACTGAGGGGAAAGTACACCTTTTGTTGTATGTGTCCACAGAGGACGTAGCCAGTCTGTACAGCCAAGGAATCTGTAGCCCAGCTGAACAGTCAGATGTTTCTCAAGACTTTGCCACGGTACAAAGTGACAGCTTGGAGAAATTAAACCGGTACGTGTGCTAAAATAATCTCATCTTCACTAAGGTGAAAGTTCCAGGTTTTAATCTGTGTAAATATGCTTTTGAAATGCTCTTTTTCTTTCCAGTTGTACCAAAGACAAGGATACAACATGGACTGAAAAACTTACACAGTACAGGTAAAAACATTATTACTGATTGTGAGTAATAACCTTAATATAACAAAGCAGCCTTTGCATCTTAGCCTTTTTTAGGACTTGTATAGGACTTAATCTGGACATTTGTCAGTCACATTGGTTTGTAGTAATTGTAGAAATGACTTTTTGTCTCTCTTTTCCTGAGTGGGTTTTATGAACAGAACTAGAGCTACTGCAATACTTTCAGTACTACTAACAGAAAGATAAAAAGAAGTACTGCCACCGTTAAAGTTTGTCCTATTTTTCTATTCTTGTGTGTGTATTTTAGGCAGGAGATGCGTGAAGAGAAGATCTACAGAGAGGCTATGAGGAAGAGGAGCGTTGTTCCCTTTTTCCACCCAGAAAATATTCCCCTGTACGAGGTACTATATTCGCTTAACATCATCTTAAAGGATTCCCAGTCGATTTTTCTCTGTGCAGTGTATAAAAACACGAAGCACCGTTTCTGGTTTTCTCAGAGTCTGCTACAGCAACAAATACCTGACATGAGGAGTTTGTCAATGGCTCTCCCACCATTTCCCAAGTCGGACAGTACTGAGGGCTTCCTGAAAGATGCGCCACAGGAGGACAGTAAGTTATGATACCTTTGTGAGTATTTACTAGAGGTATAACTTGTTTTAAAGATGTTTTTTTGATTGGAATCTTCCCAAAAAAACAAAACAACAGAATAAATGAGTCTTAATGGTGACTTCAGTGACATGAAGCTGTTTATTAAACTACATTTGTGTTTGGCACTGCAGCTCCAAGGCCTTTAAACCCAACACCGTCTCAGTCTGCAAGGTAATAATGAGCAAATTATGTTTTGAACTGTTTCTCCTGTTTAATTTTTCACTCTGTGATTTAGCCACTTACAAAACTGTCATCATCAGGGCTTAATCTGTGTTTTTTCTTTTAGTCATTCAGCAAGAAGTAGCAGGGTGCTAGAAAAGAGACCCACCAACCCCGCACCTCAGTCTGCTGGTTTGTTTCTAACCTTCTCATGTTTTATATTACTATTAATTCCTGGAAACCTCACCAATAATGCATCAAATATTTTTTAGGACAGAAATGACGTAAAGCCACTGTGAACATACAGACATGGAGCAGTATGATCAGTCAGAAACTGCACTCTGTGAGGACAGAGGCAGAATTTTATTTACATTTATTTAGATCGTTGAATCTCTGCCAGGACTTGATGGCTCAGTACAAAGACAAATAATACTGTATATGATTTACACTTCTATGCAAACTTATGAATTATCCTGTGTGTGTCTGTGTGCGTGTACACGTCCAGGTGAAAGCAGTTGGAGGGATTCTTCTAGGAAATGCAAGTCACCACAGTTAGATGTGAGTGGAAAGCCCAGACAGACTACAGTCACCCTACCATCCTCTGTCCTCGGCTCTAAATCCTGCAGTGCACCGGTACAAAATCATTTTTGTTTTTTTGCCAAAAATGTGCTGGTCGAGTTTTTGTTTTGGGTGGTTCCCTAGTATTAAACTTGCTATTGGTTAATAGTATTACCACCTATGGGCTCAATGTTTATTAAGAGAAACTTTGAACTTACATTCCAATAGTTCATTTTTTGTTTGTTTGTTTGTGAAAAGTAAAATGGCCCTTGAAGGGACCTTTAGAGGATCTATACGTTTGTGCCATTATTATTTCATAACCTGAAGGATTTTTCTCCTCTCTTCATCATCAGTGGGGTGATTAAATCCCACTGATGATGGAGTGAGCCTTTTTATCGCTGATATCCTATCAAATTGGGAGTGTTAAAAAAAGATGTTCCTATAATACCATTTGTACACATACTTTACCCTATATTTTTATCACGGTAGTATCAAGCTGCCAGTTTTTCATTGTTAACTTTTCTTTGTCTATGTCCTCTGTTGAAGCTCCTGCAGGCGGAGGAGCAAGTGAGGAGGAAGTGCCAAACAGGTGCCATTGTGAAGGGCTTCCAGCTCATCCCATCGAGCGTAGACTTTGGCACGCTGAAGGAGGGCACCTCCTCCACCATTATTGTTGTGATGAAGAATGTTGGTTTTGACATATGCAGGTAAACCACCAGACAGATAGAGATAAGGGATTTTAGGTTTTTGGGGGTTATTTTTGTAGTCTTAGGTCTTGTTTCAATTGTCTTTTAGTACCTCAGAAAGAAATGAGGACTGTTAGGTGGAGGCAATTTATGGGTCACCTTCAAGTCCAAAGGGAAAACTCTGACCTAACTATTTGTGGTTTATTTCACTCTGTCGCTGCCAGGTTCCATGTGAAACAGCCTCCTCCTGCTACAGGCCTCCGGGTCATCTACAGCCCTGGTCCTGTAAGTTTTCATTGTGATGTTTAATATGAAATAAAAATTTAATGTAATATAATATTTATATTAATGTTCCAGCCACTGCATTTCTACTTTAATGTTATTGAATTAATTGTATAAATGTTCAAAACAGCTGACATTTTTTGTTTGTTAAAGGGTTAAATTCTACTTCCTTCAACGTCTCATAGGCATATGTGGTGTCTTGTTTTACTAGGTGGCCGCAGGTCTGCAGGTCGAACTGAAGGTTCAGCTGTTTGCAATGTGTGCTGTCCAAGCAGGGGAAGTAGAGCCAAAGAAGTTAATCTCCCAGGAAATTATCATTCCTACTGAGAAAGACATCCTCTGTCTGCCAGTCACTGCTAATATCCTTTGAGCACCTAAAGAAACACATTCAGTTTAGCTTTTAATTTTCTTACTAGAAAACAGTGTTTAAAAAAACAAAAACTTCTCTTCTGACTTCCGAAACAAGTGAGAGAAAAGTTGTGTATAAGAGATCTGCCCAGACTTAGTGAGTAACCAACACCAAAATGTCAAACATACACGTCTGAAACAGAATCAAACCCAAAATAACAAAAAGAAAAGGACTGTTGCAGCTTTCTTTTGCTACACAGTGAATGGTATTTTCAAGCAATGGCAATTTCATCTCTGAAATTGCTTTTATTCGCATCATTTTTACCTGTTATTGGTAAATGCTAGCAACAAATCCATCTGAGTTTAGCACAAAATGCAAAATGAAAATAGAGTAGACCTCAGCCAGCCTACATTCACTGGTTTCACAATCGACAATCACATGTGGTAATACTACGTTTTTGTTTTTTTGTTTTTTCTTTTGTTGTGGTGACATTACTATAAAAAATAAAAGTAATCCACTGGGTTTTAGCTCCACAGATGCCAGGAGTGCTTTAATTCTAGGAAATACATAAAATTGGTGGGCTGTGAGGCAGCTGCTCATTCTTTGAATCAGGATGTGCCAAACCCCACACTTAGGCAAGCGTAATGCGAGTGTGTTACATGGTGACATGGATAAGTGTTGGATAAGTGGTAGTTGTTTTGGTTAGTGCGAACAAACTGCTTCCAATTTTACAGTAGGTCTAAAGTCCATCACTGGCCATCAGGTCTCTCAATTCCCGTTGTTCTTCTTCCAGATCTTCCCCAAATTGCAGAGCCATGAGCTTCTCCAAGATCTTATCCATACTGTGTTCAAAAAACACAGTCTGAGTACTCACAGCCCTGCCCATCGAGTATCCGGCAGCAAACGTCTCCGCAGGACAATCAGGCTCTCCCAAGCCCAGGAGTTGTCAGTTTCATTAAGGGACCAGTTGATAAAATCCATAATTCTTCTTTAGGTTTTTAGAGAACAAGTCTGGGAGACTATCTTAGGGTTAAAGAATAAGCCAGACTATACAACTGACATGAGAAGCCAAGCAGGAAAGATAAGGGAGAGGGAGAGGGAGAAAGTGCGACCGCCTCCGTCAAGAGCCAAGAGAAGGATGAAGGATTTGTTGTTGCCTAGGTTATTATTCCAGCCTCAATTTTATGTTAAAAAAAGATTTTCTTGTGTAACTAAGATTCAAAGTTACTGCTGATATGAAATTTCATGAAGATGAATGAAGATTCATGGCGTGTGTGTTGAAAGAAGTGATGTTGGTCCTTAACTAACTTCACCTATCCTTCCTGAGGGATTATATGAAATTTGGCTTAAGGACCATAGCAGGGTCCATAAAAAGAACATCTCCAAGGTCTTCCAGGCTTCCAGCTGGGCAGGGAAGCGTCCTGATCAGTCCCGCAGTAAACGCAGGTTAGTGTCTTACACCATGAAATAACATCTTTAAGATTCAGACAGAGGATAAGTCACTGATAAAACCGTTTTGTTTTCAGGACATATTAAGGACTCCAGCTTCTCTCAGTCAGATTTCACACCTTTTAAGCCTTCATCACATTATAACCATCTCACGTTTGATTATTTCTGATAAATTGTGATGTTTGATGTGAAATAAAAATATTAACCTAAGTAATTGAGGCAATTGAATTCTTATGTGTAACCATGTCTGCTTGTAACACATTATGATAAATACCTGCGCTACCTAATGTAATTTGGCTCGTACTGTACGAGTTAGAGCCGTGCCTCCTGAGTGTGGGCGCGTGTCTAGCTCTACGGGGGAGACTCGCGCTGGTGCACGTGATCAGGTGAATAGATGGGGCGGGGTTGTTGGTATATGACGTCAATGGGGACCCAGAGCAAGGTGCAAACACGACCGAATAAAGTTAAACGGAGACGGAAATTCGTGTTTTGGTTGCCGTACTTCGATGCTGCCCGTTTGTCCTCTTCACCTTTGCGCAAAAAATCTAAAAATCGGTGGGGTGTAGCTGGAGAAATCCTTGACTCCGGTTGCCCCCCCTGCGCTGTCGGTCACGCGCTCCCACGTGCACATACACACGCTTGTGTAGCTCGAGCATCACTAGAGGTGGCGTCAGCGGAGACGGTTGTTACGGAGGGTGACGGGGCTTTGACTTTGGCTGCTTCGTGCCGTCTTTCTGTGAGCGCGGAGCCGGAGGATGGAGCAGGTGGAACCAAAGCAGTAAGCGGGGTCAGCGCGAGAGGATGCGGACGGGAGGCAGAGGCTACCTATAAACCAGGAGTAGATGATGCCTATTTGCCGCAGGCCCCGCCATCGTGAAATTATATACCGACTTGCGGCGGATGGGGTGACCGAGCTCCCTGCTCCGCCGGGGAGGTCCCTGCCTTCGGAGGTTACCGGGGAGGGAGCTGCCTGTGCCCCGTTCTGAGGAAGGGAAGGAGTGGCAGGAAAGAAAATGCAGACGGAGGAGGAGACGGCCGCCGCAGAAGAGCCCATTTTGGAGGAAGGGTCGGAAAGAGAGCAGGTAAGGACATTTTTTCCTGTCTCCTTGGGGTTTACATTTCAAACAAGGGTCCAGTTTACCTAAAGGTGGATGTGTTTTCGCTCACAGAAGAACTATCAATGACACAATTTCTGTGTCCCAAACAGCCTGCCGTCTCCATGTATAGTACATGCTTTTATACGCTTATCAGTGTGCTCTTTCATTGACAAAACATGTCTTTGCCGTTGTTTCCTCCGTGATGCCTCACGCAAGGACACGGAGGAGCTTGGTTTAGTGTGAATGGAGATCAGGCTGTGGCTTTAGTAAACAGATAGGGGTGGTAGGGGGCTTAGTATTGATGCGATATGTCTGACAGGGCTGCGTGATGTGTTACTCTTGGGATGGATGGTCTTTTCTGTATAGTAGACCACGTCTACCTGTCAGCTGTCACCACAGAGATGCAAGAGGGTGACATCACAGTTTAGCCACACACCCACCTTACAGCCAGAATTACACAAGGACACGTAATGTGAAATCACAGAAAACCCTAGCAGTATGTCAGGATTTTCACCCCGGGAGTTACAATATGTTACAGTGTACCTACTCAGCAGTGTGTTTTTCTTCTGATTTTCAGCTAATTTTACGAACACATACAAAGCTCATTAGCAGATATCCTTGTCCTTATTACACACATCCCTAACTACTGAAGCCTGCCTCCTGCTGCTGAAAGTCCTCACACAGGGCTCAAATGTTTATGTTTACATCTTGCCTTGAATCACTGTGTGATTACTATATTACCAGACTTAGAACAATCAGCATCATCCACTTAAACGCACTTTATCATGAAAAAAATATAATAATATTATTAATGTAATTTACCAGTGGAGTTTATGACAAGTTTACTAGCGTGACAGAGGCTACTAACGCATTCCCACTGAACGATTTGAAGACAAAGGTGGGGTGTGTTGTAATGCAAGCAGCCTGCCAGTGGCAATATGCTTGTGTCACACTTGGTGGTCAGGTGAGGCAGTACAAGGCTCCCAGTCTTATGGCAAGCCTCTTGGTCACATGTATGGATGCTATAAGGCTGCTACTATTATGTTAGTTGTCCATTAAATAAAAGCCCTTTTTTGCTTATTTGAATTACATATCTGGAAACATTCAAATAAAAATTGCAGTGACAGATTAACTGAAGAGAAAATGAGAGGCACGTCATTCATCTCTCAAGTGAGTAGTCCATTAAAAGACTACTTTGGTTTTATTGGGCTTTAAATACCTTGGCTGGGTGGCAAGCAGAGTAAGTGTATTAATTGTCCAAATACTTTGAAATACACAGTACTTACAAATAAGGACTAATAAAACTGAAAATAAGAGATAAATTAAGCGTTTGGCACCTGAGAAGTGATAATTCATAAACCAATGGATGTAATGTGTGGACTAGGAACGCCTGTTAAAAGATACCTTTCACTTACAGTCCTCTGTCTGTATCCGTTCCTGCAGTGCAGACAGTGCAGTGTAATGCAATGATTTCAACCTGCATCTCTTCTCTGCCTCCATTACTCTTTTCATCTTCCCCTCCTGGTTTCCTTCCTGTTTTTTTGCCCAGTGGAGTTTACAGCCTCGTCCTCCTATCCCCCATCGTACTCGACTCTCCCACTCAAGCGTTTCCACACTCATATTTCCCTCAATTGCATTCACTTTGCGCCACATGGGAATGCATACATGTATGCACTCTTATGCAGGCATTGCTACAAATGAAGCAGAATTGAATGATTAAGATTTAAAATTGTAGCTCATACTCTCTTCCATATATACAAACACTCGTGCCATATTTCCATTAGCGGGAAGGTTCGTCACATCAAAGCAGGCGTTTCTAATTTCCTTCTAAGTTTCACTCGCAAATCATGAAAACTACATTCCACCACATGAGACGCCGCTCATCATCAGGAGGGCGAGGGAAAACTGTCATGTGAAAAGAGCCAGAGGAGCTGAAAAAAGCATGTAAACTTAACAAGAATAGAAACTAAATGTGTCAACAGCCACAAAACCTGACTCGACAAAGAGAAACGTTACAACTCGCTGAGAGACAAACAAGAATAGCTTTTTCTAAAATTAACACACAAGCAATGCTCTCAATTCTTTGTTTGAATGTTTGTATTCAGTCATTATGTTTGATATTAAACATGATTTTTCTTTATTTCTTCATGCCTGTGATAGTATCTTGTTGATACTGTTGTTGTCATTTGCTACAATAACAGTTATATATTAGCAAGCAATGACCTTCTACATACAGATGGAGACTAGACTTATACTGAGAGGTTTCTGTGAAAACTTTTAGCATCCACCATTCGGATCTACAGTATTGTAACTAACATGGATTCAGGCTCACGTATAGGCCAACCTCTGCCTTCACTGATATTTAATTTATGAATAGGAGATGTCATTGTTTGGTCTGTAGTCTCCACTGAGCACACTCCAACACGGAGCAATAATGATGATAGCGTTATGAGTGTATGATGACACACTGCTGCCACATCAAGTGGTAATAATTTGTTTGCTGCCACCGAACAGTTAGTAGAAACCTGACATCTCCAAATGACTCCCTCCAGTTGTGTTGAAATGACATAATTTTTAGCAGAGCACTGTAAGCATCAGCAGCACATTTTCCTTTCTTCGCTCCCTCACTTCATTTGCCACCCACACGCTAGGATTGCTAATTATAGCTGCTCCAGTCACACCTAACCAGCTGAATCAGTATGAGCTGAAGCACGGAAGGACGGGAGAGCAGCACACGTTTTCTATTAGACACCTTAATACGGAGAGAGGGTTGTACGATCCTTTCGTGCGAAGCGCACAAACACGGTTAACGGGGAAAGGCCTGTGAGTGTTTTAGTTAGTAGAAGCAGGATGTATCGGATGTTTGCTCAGGATGTTCAAAATTACTTCTTTAAAATCTTGTTCACAGATCAAGCTGGTCCAAGATATAAAAAAACAGCCATCTGCAGTCATTGTGGGTGCTCGGGATGCTTCTCGAATGTAGATTGTGTCAAAGTGTCTGCGTTTTGAGCCCAGCAAAACTTTGTCAAGTAGTATGTTTTATGCATATTTAACCCTGAAACGATGCCATTAATGCAACAGAATATGTCGTGTCAGAGCCACTCGCCCTCTTCAAAAGAGCTTCTAAGGAGAGCAGTTCAGACTTTCAGTATGAAATAGGAAAGATGACACCCTCCAGGCTGGGCTATATAGATTTCTTTGCATAATGGTGTCAAGGAAACTGAGATTTCATTTTGATCTGTTGCAGCCTACAGAGGCAGCTTTAACAGACACAGGATCACAGCCAGAGTTGTTTTTATAGACAAAAGTGTTGATTGTTGGTCAGTCCTTCAGGAGGTCGGTGGTGGGCAAAAGTCTTGAGTCACCCCTCATTTCTTGCAGTATGTAAGGGAAAACAGATTTGTACAATTTGAACAAGCGTGAAAGTAAATATTTTAGTGGGGTAAGATGAAAATCTGTTGGCACTTTTCTGCCTTTGTAATTCCATCAATTTTGACAAGATCTCCAACACCAGTGGCTGAAAGCAGCTCCAAACCATGACAGAGCCAAACTGTGTTTTACAAAGGGCTGTAGACGCCCACAGTGTAACTCCTCTGACCTTCTCCATCCATACATACGTGAAAACTATTTGAACCAGCATCTTCACATTTGGATTCATCACTCCATATGTCCTGTTGTCACAGATATCCAGTCCATTTCTTGTGTAATTTGGTATACCTCAGCCTCTGCTCCATTTCCCTTCATTAAAAATGACTTCCTGACAGCCACCCGTCCACTGAGACTGTTTCTGATGAGGCTTCAGTGTACAGCAGATGGATCAACTGAAGGTTCAGCCTCTCTCAGGTCCTGTGTCAGGTCTTTGCTAGACTTTTTCTCTTGTTTCTTAATGTTAATTTCAGATACTGTTCAATACTGTTGTTTGTTTTAGTGTAGACACAACACTGGTTCATCTTTTGAGTTAGGTGCCTTTTTATGCCTGAACGATTCACAGATCAGTGTTAAGTAAACAAACAAAAAACATTCCTCTGAAGATGATATATGAAAGATCAGCGTTGCTAAAAGTTAGTGGAGTCTATTCAACATAGTTAACCTTACTCTGCAGTGAATACAACATCTGATTGTGTTCATTCAGTAGCAAAGAAAGCGTTTACTGATGTCATAGATCATTGTTCGTTCTAGGGCTGCCACAAACGATCATTTTGACTAGTCACCGATTATTTTTGCGATTAGTCGACTAATCAGATCATCATCCATTGGACGTAAAACGTACAGCTTATTGCACCAGCAGCATCTGCTCTTATATAACTATCATTAGCTTACAGCTTGAAGTGTTTAAGGTATGTGCTAACTAAAAATAACGACAAGATGATAGTTTATTAAATTTTAATGACATTTGCAGATTGTTTCGGTGAAACAGACATCTCCGAAAACGTCGGAGCGCTTTTAAAAATATGTGGTATCTTGATAAACCGAGCAGATATTTGAGGTTTACACAGCTACATTCTCACCTGAAAATATGTTAAACTTTATTTTGTGACCCAGAAAGAATAATAAGAGTAATATTAAAACTAACTAGCGGCCGCCATCATTGAAAACTACGCTAGGCTGCACTATGAAATATGGGACACCGTTTCTTCTTCTTCGGGGTTTAACGGCAGCTGGCATCCTTGTACATGCAGTGCTGCCATCTTCTGTTTCAGTCTGTTATTACACTCTTAAATCCTACTACCGGTACTTATTCCTGCGTCTTTTGTGATCTTACAAAGCTTCAAACGACGCGTCGACTATTAAATCAGTCGTCGACGTTTTTAATAGTCGACGCAATCGTGGCAGCCCTAGTTCGTTCTCCACAGACTTCTGGACAACTTGAGGTCTTTTTGCAAACAAATACAGTATAAATGTTGGATGTACCTTTCCGTAGCTGTGACTGCGAAAAGGTGTATAACAGCTTTCTGACTTGACCTCTTTAACCTCCTAGGACGTGGCGTCCACATGTGTGGACATCACATTTTGGGTTATTTAGACCAAAATACTCAATTTTGCTTCAGCTTTTAGACCTGCAATCTCAGACCATCTTTTACCTACAGTCTATGACTGAATCTGCATGCTTTCAGAGGACACTGAGCTGTGGCTCCCGTTCATGCTGTAAATCTCACCTAAGTTGTCAAGCTGTCGTTTTAAGCTGTCACATGGTTACGATGAGAATAATAAGTCAACAATAATTAAGGACCCACAAATGCAACACGCCTGGTTTCTGCTGCTGATAATTATTCATGAATTGGGCTGAATATTGACAATAGCCTTCCAAATCCCCTGCTAGTATTACTGCTTTTAGTATTAAAGCTTTTTTGGTTTTCAGTAAAGTTTTCTTTTTTGCTATTTTTGTAGTACAAAATCTTTGTTTGTTTTTTCTAAATCAGTTCTTTCAGCAATCCTTTGCCTCACCTAAAAATATTTTCTGGTCCACATAGTTGCACACTCTGGTTTTTTTTTTATTTTTTATTTGTTGTAGGCTCAAATATCCTGGTAGAATAATAATTACTAAGGAGGTGTTAGTAGGAGCTTTTCCTCCTTTGAAGTTACTTCTACTCCACTAAAGACTTTCAGTTTTCTGAAGACAACTACTTGTGTGCATTGTTGCTGGATTTGGAATTTGACCCTCCATTAGTGGCTGTGTAATAATTAAAATGGCCTCTCAGTCCCATATATGGTGTATAATTCCCATTACTGTAAATAGCTGGCGTCATGCAGAGTTGATGGTTGACAGAGTGCTCTGATGTTTCATCTTTCACTGGAATTTGTGTGGTGACTTACGGCACTGGTTTATTTGACTATGCTCACTAAGTCGTGCTAAAGCTCTGGCACTCAGGTTTCTTCACCTGTGGGACAGAGAATGGCTCATACTGACAAAAGCTGACTGGGATAAGTGCTTACAGGAATAATCTGACTCCTGTCTTGGGCTGATTGTACCCACACTGGCATCACGGCTGCAGATTCTTGTTGAAAATGCTTGACACATTTTTTTTGGTACTGCTGGAGTATTTTCTTCTTCTTTTGGGTAATAGGTAAACGACAAAAGAGGTTTGGTGCCAGAAGGACAAAATAAGGGCACAAGAGGGAGGGAGACGGTGGAAAAGGATGGATTTTGGCAGTGGAGTTCTCTGGAGAGAGGTGCACTCTGTCACTGCTGCTGGCTCTTTAGCTTCTCTCCCTCTCTCCTCATCCTCCTCTTCTTATTTAGCTTCCTTTCATACTTGCATTCATGAAAAGTTCATGACCGTTTCTCTGTCTCCCCTCACACTCCTCATCCCCTCCCCCTACGCTACACTCTTAGCCCAATCAATCCACTTAGAGACAGACTTTGAAAGAGGATGTAACAGAGGAGACATGGAGGGTGGGGTTGGCAGGCGAGGACAGAGTGAGGCGAGGTAAAAGTTCTGATTGGTGGGTACAAAATGCTTAGGAGCTCGGGGAGTAGATTTGGGGGAGGAGGAGGAAAAAGAGATTGCATAAGAATAAACAAATGAAAGAAGATGTGAATACGAGAAGCATTAAATATGATATGAAGTTGGTACCACGGATCATTTTCATTTTCTTAAAGGCAGCAAACCTATTTTTAGAATCTTAAGGCCTGCACTTGGATGCTTTTTGGCAGCTTTTGCAGAGTGATAACAGACTGGTGGAGTGTAGATGCCCTTCTCTCTGCCTTTCACTGCTCGCCCTTGACGTACAGTAGTGAAAAATGTCTGTGTGTGTGTGTACAGTTAATGTGAGCCTGAGTCTGTTTGCACAGTCACATATAGACACAAAAAGTAAATCATTAAAGGTCAAGGTACAGACATATTATCAGCTGAGGATAAGGTAAGATTTGCAGTAACATTGGTATATGTTTCAGGCAAGACGCGCAAATGTCCTCTGAAATCATGGGTGCACATTTGTGCGTGTTTGTGTGCTGTGCATCCACCAAGATCTGCTAGCAAATATAGCAAATAGCAAATTGAGGCTCTGTTGTGGTGCGCAGGGAGAAAGTGAAGGATATGAGAGTGTGTGTGTGAGTGATATACTGTAGAAGGAGGGAGGAGAGGGGCCAGTGTGTGAGATAAATGGAGGGCGTGATGTGCTGACAGGACGAGCAGACTTGACTGAGAGGAGGAAAGGACAATGGTGTCATCCCATCTTTTTTTTCCTTCTTTTCGTCATCTGCTTTGTTGCTCTTTCGCCTTGTCGCCTTCACCACAGGGGAGACATCAACGCAGACACAAATAAGCACCCTTTGTCACATGAAACAGTTCAGGTGTGTGTTAAATGTGTTCCTTTCTCATCACGTTTTTATGAGGTATGCATAAAAATGAGGTATGTTTGTTTTTTTTTCCTTTTGGCACAAGCAGTCTGTCTTTCTGTCCTTCATTCACACACACACAAACTGCAGCAATGCTGATATGCTCCTGATGTTGGAGCGGAGTCAGTTGGCTAGAGAACCGTCTAGAAGCATCGTTCTCATCTAAATTATTCACATACTCTCCGCTGGCTGCATTACAGTGCTGAGAAACGTGCATGCTGGCGTGAGTATGGATAGAGATAGCAAGACTGAAAAGAATGAGGCGCATTAGACCATCTATGTCTGTATATCTCAAATGTGTGTGCGTACGTATATGTGTGTGTTTGAGTGCGCTGTAATATGATGTCTCCACAGTGCAAGTCAGGCTGTGTGCACTTAGAGAGTGGCATAAGCAGTGTGTGTGTGTTCCTAATATGCAGCACTTATCCTGTGATGGGAGTGGGGCAGCGTAATGCATTCCTTTGGTGAAGACCTCAGCTTACACACTTTCTCTGTAATGTGACACTGTTTACCAAACAGGAAGAATGTGGTTATTAAAACCTCAGCAGGTACAGAAAACCTGTGTTGCGTCCTTTACAAACATTTTGTGTTCAGCAGCATTGATTGTCACCTGTCTGGCTTTATTAATGAGGCATATTTAGAGGCATGTTGCGTTGTTTATCACTCTCGTGGCTGCCAATGTGTGTAGTCTTGTGGCTCAGCTGTTTTTTTCCTCTCTGTGCCTCCACAGCAACGGCCAGTCCAACAGTCTCTGGCCTCTTCCCTTTGTCGGGAGTCCCACTGGAAGTGCCTCCTCCTGACCCTCCTCATGTACGGCTGTTTTGCCACGCTGGCCTGGTGCGCTCTCTGTCGCGTACCCGTTCTGGGCTCCTCCTCCGTATCTGCTGACGGCACCTCGGCGGCCTATTACATCCAGCATTTGGAAAGTCCGTGTTCTAGTGGTTACGTGTACATCCCACTGGCCTTCCTGGCCATGCTGTATGTGGTTTACCTGGTGGAGTGTTGGCACTGCTTCTCCAAGACGGCCATGTTGGCTCATGCTGAATTCCAGGTATGTGTCAAAGTTATAGCCTGTATTTTGAAGGTGGGTGTAATGGGCTCGAGTGAGGTGATTCCAGCACGAAACAGAAAGACGCTGAAAGAGAAATCTAGAAAGACCTGTTATTAAAAAAACAAATCTGTTCACTTAGTGATTGTTTTTTGTGTCTGGAATCCTTAAAATGGTTAAACCAGTAAAAATAATGATTGAAAAAAGAAAATCCTCACTTCAAGGAAGCCTGAATTAAATTTGTAATATTTCATGAGGAGCATCATTATACAGCTTCCTTCCCTACATGTGGAAATTAGCTGACCGAGGGTTTTGCTGTTTTTTGGTTTGTTCTGGCCTGTCCTTTGTCTGTCTCCAAACGTAGAGCTGTTTGTCTGTCTCTACTAAGAAGGAAACGATAGAAGGACAAAAATAATCCCACAATAACCAAACCATCACCAGCCTGCACAGCTTTAAACTGTATGCAGATAGTAAAACAACTCTTTCTGCTTCTGCTGTGATTGCACGTTTTAGGCAATGTTATGTCTTTATCTCGTTTTTAACACATCAGGCAGCAAGTTGGTTGTAGAAAGTGTAAAACATTGTGACATGTTTTAAAGCAGCCTTGTTTTACCTCATTGTTTTACACAGGAAGTATACGAGCGTGTGCAGAGACTTCAGCAGGCCACACCCTGTATTTGGTGGAAGGCCATCAGCTATCACTACGTGAGGAGGACCAGACAGGTGACAAGATACCGCAATGGAGATGCATATACGACCACACAGGTGAGGACACTTTTCTGGTTCTACACACTCACGTTTCACCCTTCCTGTTATCCTGACTGCTTTTGATATAGTGAATGTTGTTGAGCTGTGACAAACAGCTGTTCACAGAAGGCAAAAAATTCCATACAGCTGAGTTTTATTCGTGCTGGAACATATTTTGAAAATAAAAATGTCCCTCTAGTATCACACATCCTGCTTTCCTTCCTCCTCTCCTTTTTTCTTCATCATCATTCGACCTCTTTGTCCGTGCCCTGCTTTTTTCTTCTTCAGGTCTACCATGAGCGGGTGAACACTCATGCCTCAAGTTCTGAGTTTGACTACGCCCGCTATGGTGTCAAAGACGTGTCAAAGGAGCTGTTGGACCTGCAGCAACACCCTGCTGTTCGCCTGCGTTTCACAAAGTGTTTCAGGTATCAGCGAGACATCAAATTTAAACCAGTATGACTTTGATTGTTAAAAGGTTTACCTTCTTTTTAAGGTGAAATAGATAGTGACTCATTTTTGTGTTCTTTAGCTTTTCAAGTGCACGTGCTGAAGCTGCCTACCTCACCCAGGTAAGATGTGAGGGATCAATGAATGCGATTCATTTTGTTCTTTATTTTTTTTAAGCTTAAACAAATGTCCATTTTCATTTTAAATCAAAAATACGAAGCATTTGAATCAGTAAATTTCTTAAATATTGGTAATAATTTAGCATTAAATCTTATACAGTGTTTTACTTTTTGATTTTTTTCTCTGTAATTGCAAGCGAGCACGCTTCTTTGGGGAGAACGAGGGGCTTGATGACTACATGGAGGCCAGGGAGGGAATGCACCTTAAAAACGTGGATTTCCGCGAACACATCCTAGCATTCTCCGATCCGGCTCACCAGCCGTGGTTCTCCAGGCACAAGGTGTTCTGGCTGGCTTCAGCTTTCCTCCTGTCGTGGCCGCTGCGAGTTGTGTCGGAATACCGCACAGCGTATGTCCACTACCACGTGGAGAAGCTGTTCGGGGAGGACGAGGATACCGTTGGGGGAGTCGGTGGAGGAGGGCCAGGCGGAGGTGGAAGAGGGGACGGCGTTGAAGGAGGGACTGAGAATGGAATCCACCCAGGAGGAATTTCGATTGGCATTGGTGTGAATGGGACAAGCTACAGAGCCATCTCTCGTGTCAACACGGTGGACATGACAGAATTGGAGTGGCACATTCGCTGTAACCAACAGATGGTCCCGAGCTACTCTGAAGCCCTCCTTATGGACTTAGAAATGAGTGGGGGGACAAACCCTACAGCCTCCACACCTATCTCTGGGCCTCAAGGCATCACTCCCAGCCAGGGGACCAACCCCCCTCCTCTGGCTTTGCCTGTGGTGTTCAACTCGGCTTACCTCCTTCAGAGCTGCCCCCGATGCCGGCGGACCACATCGAGTGCCAGTCTTCCATCCAGGCTAAGGGCTTCAATGGGAACCACAGCCCTCCTGAACGCTACAGTGGCAGGGATCAGAGCAGCAGGGCAAGGAGGTGGGGGTATGGGAGGGAGACTGGTGCTCAGTCGGAGCGGGTTCTCTCTCGGGAGACTTGGAGGTGGTCGCCAGAACAGCCTGTTTCATTCAAGAAGCATGGGGGGTGGGCTGGGAGGAAGTAGGGAAGATGGAGGAGGAGGAGGGGTAAGTGGTGGAGGGGGTGGAGGTGGTGGAGGATTCCTTGGGTTAGGTTCAAGACAGAACAACGAGGAGACCAGAGGAGTGCTTGAAGGGGAAGGTGACGATGACGAGGAAGAAGAGCAGGAGCAGAGGAGGAGGGAAGATAGAGGAAGAGGAAGGAGAGAGAGGGATGAGGAGGCAGAGCAAGACAACGCAGGGGGAGGAGAGGCGAGAGAGGGTGAGAGGGATCGGCCTCCATCCTATCAGGATGCGTTCTTCTTCCCCGTCCTCATTATACACGGCGAGGAGAGCTGCCATGCCGGAGACGACATGTGATGAAGAGAAAAATAAAAACACTGAGAGCGAGAATGTACAGGCACAGGCTGAGGGAGATGAAAGAAGAGAGGAAGGATGCATAGAGAGAAGAAAGGATTCAGACAGAACACAGTGAGAGAGGTAAGAAAGACAAAACAGGAGAGATGTAGGGAAAAGAGAAGATACTGTCAGAGGAACTGGGAAAGCAAACGAAGGAGATATGACAAATACAGTGCATACTGTAAAAAGTCAGTAAACCCACTAGATCAGAAGAAGAGAGCTGATAGAGAGTGCAGCAGCGAGGTGAGATAGAGTCTAAGACAAGGAGCAAGGGCAAGAAAATCTTTGCAATTTTAGGTGACGGATTGGATAATTTGGAAGACTGCAAAGTTAGAAATGTCTATCTTCAGCTATATCGGAGCAGGAGTGGGAGGGGTAACAAGTCTAAAGATAGCAGCTTGGAGAGGCAGTGGAGAGACACCAAACCAGCTGAGAGGTAGTGGAGTTTGTTGTTGTCTAATCTTTCTTTAACACAAATGAAAGACTACAAAAAGGGAATTTAAAGAATAATATATAGAGAGAGGAACTGAGAATCGGGCCAATTTAAAGAATCAAAATTGATAAGAGGTTATAAATAATTCAGATGTGGGAATAAATAGATCATGTAAAATACAGCGTAGTAAAGTAGAGCAAAAGACATCAGCATGCAGGACACGCAGGCTAAGAAGAATCCAAAATGGACACAGACCAGATTACCCTAAATCTCATTTTTCCATTTGACAGATTCTTAAAAGCTAGAAAATAAAATTATCCAAAAGATAATCACAAAAGGAGGAGGGGGGGGGAGATGTAGGACTGATCACAGACACAACAACCTCTGAACAACAATCCTGACCTTGAATCTAATCAGGAAATCCAAATATCATTCGAACAGGTGAGAAGATTCAGTCAGATTCACCGTTATGACCTCACACGGCACCTCTAACAGAAGGCAGTAACAATAAAAGAGGAGAAGCATTGATTTCCTCCCCGTCTCGTCATGCTGTATTACGTCTTATTTCACCATTAGCTTCCCCACCACTCTATCCATTACTGTTATAGAGCCGATAGGAAAAAAACTCCATAAAAGTAGAGCAGTCGCTTCCTCTACTTCTCAGCGCTGCCCTGCCCGTCTTCTCCCCTCTGTCCATTTTATCACATGTCCTGTCTTTCTTCTTTCTATTGCTAAAAAACTAGTGAGGAGCATCATATATTTGGAAGAAGCAAATGTTGCATTAACACAGTGAACTCCCCCATCCTCTCACCCCACTCCATCCTTCTGCTCCTCCTTTTATTTTTTTTTCAAGCGGTTGATATATGACACCCTCCTCGCTCCTGTAGGCGACGAGATCACATTTTCACATATCACATCTCCCCGAGGCTGAGGTTTCCTCTCAGTGACCATATTTTATAAACTGGATTTTCCCCCCACTTGTGTAACGTTATTGTGACCTTTACGCCTGTGCATTTGAAAGGGGAAAAAGCAAATTATGTGGGCACCGTGATATAAGTGACTTCACCGAAAAAGTAACAGCTGAAAGGTTTGATTCTCACATGAGCTTTAAATTTCCCCAGTGATGCCAGTGTAGTTGTGCTATAGATTAACACATTTGTTCCCAAAGATAGGCCTGCATGCTACTAAGAAAACGCAATAACCCCAAAACCCTCCTCCTTATCAATATACTATGTAGTACTACATGTGGTTAGGCATGGAAAATGACCTCTTTATCTCATTTATGTCCATAAGATTGGACTGCATGGGAAGTAACACTTACAGTAAGCAGCAATCAGAGATTTAATTGCTTCCTTTTTTATCGCACAGACAACAAAATTGCGAATGAGGAAATACAGTATGAGGTTAACTCCCACTAACGATCTGTCATTATCAGCCCTGTGAAAGAACTGTGGCCCTAACTCTGCTACCTCCTACTCTCTGAGAATCATCTGCAAATAAGAAACAGTGCTCTCTGAAAAACATCGCCTCAGCATAAAATGTGTAAACGTTTGCTGGCATAGAGATGCATGTTAGCTACTAATAGCTGTGTAGCAAATATGGCTATCGTTGCAAAACGCAGTGCCAAAAAGTAGCGATCGATGAACAATCTGCACCGATTCAGATATTTTAGACGTATGTAGACAAGGGCATGGATAGCTGTGTCCTACTTCCTGCGTTGTCACGTCTCAGCCCAGGAGAGGCAATCGGCACAGACAGTGAGACCTTCAGTGCTTTGATGCTGATACTTTCCAAAGCACACTAAACACGCTAAAGTAGTTCGATGAACATTTGTTGACCTTTCCTGCATAGCGCCCTTCAGAGGTCACTCCAGCCACTATCTGATGTCGGAAGCGTCTCCCTCGTTCTCTCTCTCTCTGCTTCCTGTTCACAAGGGAATGAAAAGCACACGGAAAGAGCCGAGTAAAGAGCCACGAGGCAGAAACAATGCTGGATCAACTTTGCGAGCGATGGCAGTAAACGGACACGTTTACCGCACGCAGACACGGATGTGGATCGAGCAGAGACAACGGGGAAAAGTTCTCTCATCGCAACTTTCTGGAGAGAGAAAGTGGAGCATGACTGCTGACCTGGTTTTGGCGTAGGGGACACATACATGCGCGCACACTCTGACACACATTCACACACACTGGATCTTGTGTAGCTTTTGGGAGGGAATCGGCGCAAATAATGAGGGGAAGCAAAACTGTCGAGGAGCGAAGAAGTGGAAAAATGCTGAAAATGTGAGATTAAAATGACAATTATTTTTACATAATCAGTCATTATCTCAGTCTATTGACCTGTGGATAAAACTGACTCCATTCATGTCCCTAAACAAAAAGAAGCACTGGAAAAAGCACCGAACACACTCCTGTGTTCATTTATTTGTATAATCGCATTGTTCTCACTAATTCTCGGACTTTTGTTTCACTGTAATAACGTGGCTACTGTTCAGTATGTGTTTTTGATCTTCGCGGTGAAAAGTAACGAGCTCTAACTGAAAACCTGAATCTGTCAGTTCAGTCAGTGATTTGCTACTTTTATATCATCTACATTTGTAGACGTTTTTCAGGTTGTTTAAGTGATCCAGATGCTTTTGTAAGCTTACACTTATCTTTGCTGGTTTTTATTATTATTTTTGTTATTTTTGTAAAACTGACAATGCTCCTGGCCCAGTCAGCTTGGGTTGATGAGCCTCAAGTTGTGGTTTGGATGCAGTTATACTTGCTTACAAGTCTTATTTGCTCATTTGTTCATCTTAAATAAGTGTATTACACTAATACTTGTTGTTACTGGATATTTATATCATGTTTTAGTATCTCTGAGTGTGTCAAAAGTGTGTCAGCCACTTCAGGTGTGCCAAGAGATCTTTGTGCCCATGATGTCTTACACAAACACACACTCACACTCGCGCTTGCATGTTTAGTCACAGCAGTAAAGCGGCCATTACTACAGCTTGTTTTAGACTAGAGTGGCATTCATCCCGAAACCCATAATCACCGCACACATGCAGTCTCCAAACACAAACATGCGCGCACGTACACACACACTGAAAGCATGGAACTTTCCTGCTACGCTGCCTTTGTGTTGCCAACGTTTTCTGCTCAGGATTTCAGTTAATTGCTGCGTTCCTGGGACAACAAAAGCTTTTCTTCATAAATCCATCAACATGCCAAAGCAAAAAAAAAGTAAAAAACTTACAGAGAATGCCTGCGCTTATATACATGCACATTAACAGCTCACACAGGTGGCTTCACCAGATCCACACAATGTGCAACAATGTGATCTGTGCTCGTGGACTGTGGGGCAGAAGCAAACATTTACATGAAGCGACTAAACTTCATCATCAACATGCACATTTTTGTTTCTTACAAATGTTTGTTAATTGTTTCATAGCTGAGGTGCTGTTCACGCGTAAATCCACTTAGAATGTTTTTAATACTTGGTGGTTTGCCTGATAGAACCTGGCACGTGACTTTCATCCACCAGATGGCAGCAGAGCCTTATATATATGAAGGTTAATGGGGATAAACCACCAACAGCGACCCAGTGTAGAAAACAGCTGCTGTCCCATGCTTTGTGGGTTTGAGACTTAAGCATCTGTACACACCAGCTGGTGATGTGAAACCAGGTGATTTGTTTAGCTGCAGATTTTCCTTTTTTTTTTTTTAAATTGATTTATTTATTTTTAAAGCACATGCTGTGACATCACTGGTTGACGTCGCTTGTGTCTGATCTGATTGTGCTTTAATCATCTCAGCCTCTGCTGATTTTATTCTTTTCCTTTAACTGTGACTGAATGTGTTGCCGAGCAGTATTGCTCATGCCCCTGCTTCTGGCTGGACTTGTATGTGTTGCTAAGCGGCTTTCTGAACGTATAACCACAAGCAGTGGGTGCTACACTATTAAACAAAGACATTTTTAACATTTTGTGACCTAGCTTCCATTTCACCTACACAAACAACTTATCGTCTGGCCGTTTTGCGCTGCACGACACAAAGCGACACGGAGGAAGTTGGACTGTGTTCAACACTCCTCTTAGAGCAGTCGAATGCACGACGGTTTCCTTTCTCATACACGCTTTTCTTTCTTCGCTCAGACACAAAATCCTGCTCTCATTTTCCACCGTTTCACCAACGTCACCACTTGAATATCTTATAAAATGCTCTAGCAATTATGACCGATGTATTGTTGTCAATACTGTTACTGTTTTTCTCGTGGTCATGGGGTGAGTCGAGTAGTCATACCAAGTTTGTCAAACACCGTAAAAAACAATTTAAAAAAAAAAGTTAAATGGTTTGACTTGAAGTCACGTGGATTCCAGCTGCATGATGAGCCTTCATTTTCATAAATACCTTGCTGGCTAAACAAATACAAAAGTGTGACCAGGTGTCACAAATGGATTTCTTTGACTCTGTACATGTTGGACTGTCGAAATGCAGCTGAAATTGCTGCGTATACAGACAATAATTGTAACATTCATACATACTAACAAGCATTTTGACCTTTGACCTCAAACACAACAGCGTGAGTTGCATTAAGTCTCCCTGATAACAGCAATTACAACAGCAATGTTCTGTTCACGCTCTTTTGGGAACGTGAAAAAGCATACGTCTAACGAGCCCTGTGTCCGCGGTGATACAGTATCCGTGCCCTTTGTTTTTGCACTGCAATAAAGAGCAGCTGTGTGTCGCTGATGCAACGATGTGTCACCACCTTAAGGCAGTCAGTCTGCCGCTCCGACACGAAAGACGATAATCAATAGCACAAAAAATGGTCGCGTGTAAAAGCTCAAACGCATATAATCACATCACTGTCGTCTCGCTGTATTTACGTGTCCTCCTCTGAAGTTTAAAGCAATATATAATTATCCTGCAGATACACAGTGTCTGGTTAAAGGCTGATTGTATGATTGAGGTCACATTAGAGTCAGGCTGAGTTTAAAAATGTGTTGATACGGGTTAAAGACGCAGCAAACGTCGACTGTGTCGCCTGACGTTATTTAGTCCGCTTTGCCGCTGCCCTGTACGCAAGCTCTCTCGCTGTCTCGGCGCTAACTTCGCATTTCAGTTCACATTTCCTTTCCTGCTGAATATTTCATGCTGCTGGATTGCGTGTGATCGAATGTCAAACAAACGGATTGTCACCACAGTGTAGTTGTAATGTACATGCAGCCTCTATGGGTTTGAAACAATAATGTCACATACAGCGCATTATTGTCTTACACAGTGACGTGTGAAGCCGAGACCGGGCTTTCTGTTCAAGCACCGTCGAGCAAAATGTCCTCAGTATTTAAGCTACTTACTATGTAACTGATAATGAGATTGTCAATATCACAGCAGATTAAAGCGTTTGTCACCGGCCTGTTTAAGATAATGTAATTTCATTATTTGAGCGGATGGTGACTGTGAAGGTAATAGAGACGGCGGCAATAACACTGTTAACTGATGTGATCCCGGTGATGATTAATGATGATTAATTACAATGGAAGTTGGAAGTTACAAATAAAGTCAGTCTGCTTGATATACCAAAGTTTATCTTGTGAGATTATTATCCCAATCACATCTCTGTCATTTGAATAGACCAGTTCTTGTACTGAAGTGTTTCTTTCTTTTTTGTTTGTTTAAGATATTCAGGTCTTATTTGATTCAATTCCGAAAATGGAATAATCTCCCCAGTGTAAGTGTAAAGAGTCTAAGTTCTAACAGTTTATAATGAAAACGACTTGTGATTTAATCTCCTTTCTCATTTTAAATGATCAAAACATCAGTGTCAGTGAAACTATCTGCAGCCTGTCTTAGCTTTGATAGGGTAATTCAGTTGTGCAAGCACGGAGAGACGGAAAAAAAACTCCCTTTTAACAGGAAGAAACCTCCAGCAGAACCGGGCTCAGGGTAAGAGGCATAGTACACTCTGCACACATCATCAGTTTGTTTTAGGACTAGTCAAGAGAGACGTTTCCCGATATGTGTGATAGCAAGTCCAAAAACCATGAATGTCTTTAGATTGTGTAATTAAGAGAAAAATTGATCTTAGCTCAACAGCTGAAAGGCTTCTAAGTAGTAAAATATTTGATAGTTTCATTCTGCCCTTTGCATTGTATGTTGGTGAAGTATGGGGTCCACTCAGTCATGTCTGCATGCACAATTCTGCAGATACATTTTTACATGTACACAGGCAAACATCAACAAATACCTGCTGAGCAGCAGTAGATCTATATCCATCCATTTTCTTCTGCTTAGCTAATTAATTGAGGGGCTGTCATAGAGTTATTACAGAGAGACAGATAACCAACCAAAGACTCACCAATTAACCTAACCACACTATCTTCATGTCTTTGGACTGTGCGAGGAAGCCAGAGAACCCACGCAGAGAATATGCTCCACACAGAAAGGCCCCAGCCAGGTGGATTTGTACCCAGGACATTGTTGCTGTGAGGCGACGGTGCTAACCACCACAACACCCTGCTGCCCGTAGGTACGGGACCCACTGAAACTCAATTTTAAATTTTAATCATCTTAAATCCAGCCTCCAAGACACAACCTCCCAGCTCTCCCCTACATAAATTATTGCTGACACTAACTGCCCTCTCTCTAACTCCCTGTCCAGTCTCACAACAGCACCGCAAACACTGATCAGATTGAATCATATAATGCCCCATTGCAAAGGGACCTTTTTAGAACACTGGAAAGAAGAACGCAATCACCAAAGCAGACCATAAACAGATTATGTATTGGCAGAATATCACCTAAATGTCAGGGACAGAAAGTAGACAAACATTCTGGCCAAGTCCACTCTTACCTTAACCAAAAGTACTAAATTTCACCGAACTGAAGGGTCTCTGAAAATTTAAAATACTCCTCTAGGACAAGGAGACCAGGTAACGCAAATGAATAAATGTTGTTTATTGACAACATTGGCATGATATATATATATATATATATATATATATATATATATATATATATATATATATATATATATATATATATATATATATATATATATATATATATATAGTTGTTATTTTATAAACTGTATTTTGATTCTTTGCCAGTAGTGTTTTCAGAAACTCATGTTAATACAACCTTTGAACTAAACTGAGGTCCGCACAGGGACAGAACATGCAAACTACACCTGGCTGGTGGATTCAGACCCAGAACCCACTTTCTGTGAAACAGCAATGCGAGCTACCAGGCGAGCCATTACCTTTACATTACTACCATTATTATCACTTTTTTCCTTCTATCCATCCATTCGCTTCCGCTTATCCTTTTTCAGGGTCGCGGGGGGGCTGGAGCCTATCCCAGCTGTCTTAGGGCGAGAGGCAGGGTACACCCTGGACAGGTCGCCAGTCTGTCGCAGGGCTAACGCGTAGACAGAGACAACCATTCACACTGACATTCACTCCCGCATTCACGCCTATGGGCAATTTAGAGTTATCAATTAACCTATCCCTACTAAGTGCATGTCTTTGGACTGTGGGAGGAAGCTGGAGTACCTGGGGAGAACCCACGCAAACACAGGGAGAACATGAAAAAACTCAAAAAGAAAGACCCCAGCTTGATGGTGGAATTGAACTCAGGACCGTCTTGCTGTGAGGCAACAGTGCTAACCACTGTGCCACTATACTTCCTTCCATAGTAAATAAATAACACGAAAAATTCAAGAGTATTTTTGCTTGAACTGCTTTTAACATAAGAAAGTAGAACTACCAGAAAAATACTGCAAAATGTAGTATTACATGTAGGTCACACTACTCCTCAACACTGCATACTGGGAGGTGGCCCAGTTCTTCTGGAGTTCGACTCCAGAGTTGAGACCAAAACAGTAATTTTGTTTTGATCTCCCACTTCTAAATCTGTGGAGGCGTCTTCAAGGAAACCTGAATATCAGTTGTTTACTGTATTATATTGACATGCACAAAAAAAGGGTCCACGGCGTTAATCTTTCTTTTATCTCAGTATTTTGAAACAGAGTTGATGGCTGCATTTGTAGTTTCTGTCATTTTCATATCAGTTCAGAAAAGCCAGGCTCAGTAAATAAATCAGGATTAATAATGACTAGCTGCTTGCTCACATTCCTCTGTTTAAATCGACTCGCTGTATAATAGATGAAAAGCTGCGTTATTGATGTAGGAGAGGCCCGGTAGTGTGCAAAAGACACACTTACGTTCGCATAAAATATTCACAAAGGTTATTTCCATTTCTGCATCATTCACAGGCTGAGCACAACAAGCTGGAACATATTGATCACGTTGGCAAAAGCGCACTTACGCTTCCTTTGAATGGGCTTTGTTCCCATCATGTTAAAGCGATTGTGAACTGTGTTTTTCCCTCTCTGTAATCTCACATCACTGTAAGATCACAGCACCATTCTGCTGTACGTGAAGCTTCTGTTTTGTTTTGATTTTCTGAAACTGCACAGCTGAGGTGTAGTCATACATTTGTCATCCGACTTGTTTTCCATAGGTTTAGACATCAAAGTACTTTCGACAAAAGCTTTTGTCAGATCAGTAATGCACAGAGTCGGGAGATAGGAAATTTCATTACAGGTTTCCCATCCCAGGGGAATGTCTCCAAGATCCACTTGTTTGTTTTCATCAGGTTTTTCATCTAAGAATGACTCTGTTCGATGTTTATGAAGTCAGCGGTTGAGCTCCGGATCGATACATCAGACACGAATTGCTTCAAAAGTAAGCCAAAATTCATATTCTTTCATATTTTTTTTTAAACCACTGTATATCAGAGTTGCAGTAAAACAGTGCGTGGTTAACGCTGACTGCACAGTGCAAGCTGTTGAGTCAGACACTAGAGGCCAGCAGAGCCTTTGCATCGTGTTTCTCCGTTTGGATGTTAGGCATGTGAGCAGAATTTCAAATCGTCCTCCATTTCAAAGAAGTGCATGGTAATGCATGTGGAACAGCCACAGATATGTTTTCATACCTATGGCTGTTCTCACAGCATGATTATATGACACTACAATTAAACTGGAAGCCAACTATGCTCCAGCAGAGTGATATAGAAACTGCCACATCGCTTACATGGAAAATGAAGAATCTACTTGAGTTGGAAACATTATACTTAAAACAACTGTAGCTTATTGATTAGTTTTTTTAATGTACATCAGTGGAAAATGAGATAAATTTGAATTCAAAGTAAAGTGGTTTAAATGGTCTTGTCTGGAGGGGATCTTTAAGTATATACCATAAATTGTTTATCGTCCTAGTAAAGAAGTGTATGCTTTCTTACTTTAACACAAACCTCTTGCATCACTTGTGTAACGCATGCATTGTGCTTTTGTGTTTTTTCAGGCTGAAGAAGCGTCTCATATTCTGTAGCTCTGCAACTACTCTGTAAGTATTGCTTATTTATTGAGGCCTTCTGCGCACAGATTATTTGCAGACCGATCATAATAGCTTGTGTGTAGGCTCTTTAAGATTGAGCATTCAAATTCTGCAAAGAGACTGAATGTCTGGGGAAATACATGGAAACATATTGCTCGCTGTTTCTGGCAAGCTAGCCGGCCTGCAGGATTGATTTGACCAATAAATAGGAAATAATACTTGATGTCAGCTGTTAGAGTAATTCACTGGATCGACAACCACAGCCCCCACATTTCTTCCGTGGCACTGTTATCTGTGTCTGCTTGCAGCCGTATGTTTCCCTTCCATTCGCAGCTATCGGCTGCCAGCATTGCCAGTCATTCTGACGCTTGATTTTCCCCCACAGACCTGGCTTTGTTGTCTGTACCGCACGGAGCTCCTGGCTGCACCGGCGGCTGTTTGCCCAGCTCCTCCTATTGGGCTGAAAGGAACAGTGCGGAGGGGGGTAGGCAAAATTTGTTTACTGTTTGACAGCAACTGGAGGTAAAGCCTTCTGGAAGGGACTGAGTAAACAGATACTAGTAAAGAAGTATATGGCTGAAGAAGCACACAAAGTAGCGTACACTAAAAGTACACTAGATTCCAATTAGAATCCAAATTGGGGTAAGTTTCTCAATAAGTGGATGCAACAGTTTTTCATTACAGCCGAAGGGGGGGCAGGGGTGCTGCTGTGACCACTTGGTGACACTGTAGTTCCACAGTTTTACAGCAAACCTCTCCTTCTAACCATCAAATCTAATCTGAGACAAAAACCAAGAATACCAGTGGAGCTCCACATCAGGGCTACAGCTCTTGATTTTGTCCAAAGTACCCAAAAGACAAAATGGGATTAGCAAACATTTGGAAAAGTTTATTTGAACAAAGCTCACTTATAATTGGTAAAATATAAAGCCCCATTGCACAGGCCGGGTGCAGCTCTCATTCTGTGCAGGGAAGAAAGTGTGTGTGTGTACATGTTTAGACGTCTTTGTGAGGACAGAAAATTGGCATTTCACTATACTTGTGGGGACCAACAGTGAGGTGAGATCTAAAACCTGCAGGACACCGGCCCTCGGGGCCTGGAGTTTCCCACCCCTGTTATAGACCATAGACGAAGGCAACATTTGGCACCCTACCAATATTTGATACGTATCAATAAAGAC